TGTGGAAGAAAGGGGTCAAGTTCACTGCATGTACTGTACTAAAGGAAAACATAATGAAAATGATGTATAGATGGTATCTGACCCCTGTTAAATTAGCAAAGATTTATCATAACTGTGATAACCATTGCTGGAAATGTAAAGAAAAAGAAGGTACCTTCTATCATATGTGGTGGACCAGCCCCAAGGCGAAAGACTTCTGGGAAAAGATTTATAATGAATTGAAAAAAATGTTGAAAAAACATTTATAAGAAAGACCAGAGGCCTTTCTTCTTGGAATAACAGGTTTGGAATTGCCCCCAAAAGATGTTAAATTATTTTTGTATGCCACAACTGCAGCAAGAATTTTGTTAGCTAAGAATTGGAAAACGCAAGAAGTACCAACAGTGGAAGAATGGCAGATGAAGATGATGGACTCTGGCACAGAGTCACTTCCTTTGTTTCCGTAATGACCCACGCTTAGAGGGCCATTACCTCATCAGGAAGCTATCGTGGCTATTCCAGGAATTTGAATCCTTGCTTAGACAAATCCTTTGCTAGATGCAGGGATTAGAAGGGTCTCTGCATACAGTGTACCCCCTTCTTGTGGGCTTGTGAGAGTGGTTGGGTGCAGGGATACCAAAGAAGGTTGCCAAAGACACCAGTTCTAGTGCTTTATTAACTAAAGGTGTAGATCAGCCTGCCAGGTCTTCTAGGCTTTGCAGACACGGGACGGGCACTGCAGCCAGGAGATGGCTTCTCCACACCCAAGCAAACGTGCATTACATCCTTTGTGCACAAAGCAGCAGACATCACTTTGGCCAGGACTTCCCCTCACTATCCACCTGACCAGATGAGGGCGTAGCGGCAAATACCCAAGTCTTACAGATAGCTCCCCTTTCTGGGCTCAGAGCCCAGCACCCCAAATCCACAGACAAGGATAGCCAGCCAATCGGTGTATATCAAAGCAAGTTGACTACAAAGATATATGAGCTCATTGCTACAACCACCACCAATTAATTGTGAGGTTATATTGATTTCAAAATGGTGAAGCTTTCTGGAACACTTCATATTTGGTTCAACTCACCCCTCCAGCTCAATAACAATATTTTTGTTTTGCTATGTTATTATGGAATCATTTTTGTAGTGTTTGTATGAAATGCACCCGTTTCTTTGTTGTAAGTCACTTTGAGTATGATGCCTTTTGTAAAAAAAAAGCAGCATAAAAATAAAATGAATGAAATCCCTCATCCCTGTAAGCAAAACCATTTATGTATATAATTAATCTATTTATTATTTGTATTTGTGGTTTTTCTTTAATAAGCCAATGGGCATGAGTAGCAAATGCTACTCAGAACAACAGACAGCCCCAAATGGTCTGCCCCCAAAGCCAGAACCCCCAAGGAATCAGGCAACCTCCATTCACATAATTTATCCCAACAAAGCACCAGAAGTAAACCCCAATAATGCCAAAAACTAAGGATCCTGAAGGTAACCATTAATTAGGAGGCAGAAAACCCACCAACGACCCACAGGGCAGAGCCCATGGAAATAAAAATAGGTGCAGTGTAAAAGACCGCAGGCCTCCTCATGCAAAGCTGCAAGGCCAAAACCCACTGCACTCCCATGCCTTGTTGTCAAGTTCTTCTAAGTACACCTCACACCAAACACCAATGGAGGTTAGTGGGGAAAGCACACGTGAAAGCTACCGGACTGTGTTCCTGCGCTTTCAAGTAGTCACAAGCTTCAGAGATCATACGGCGCTCCTGGGGGTTCTGCTGTGAAGAAGGAGAGGGAAGGCAGGCGAAATCCATCAAGCTCTGGCTCACAGACCCTGTGAGATAACTTAGGGGTCCACAGCCCCACAGGCTGAGAACCACTGACCTAGGGAGAACGTTCTCATGCTGAAATATCAGCTGGATCCTGGGAACACATCATGCTGCTAAGAGAGCTCAGCTAGATTTAGATTTATAGAACTGTTGGAAGGGACCACGAGGGCCATCTAGTCCAACCCTCTGCAATGCAGGAAATTTTCACCCAACATGGGGCTCAAACCCAAGACCCTGAGATTAAGAGTCTCATGCTCTACCGACTGAGCTATCCCTCAGGTGTATTTTTGCAAATGTTCAAAATGCTCCGAGATGTGAAGCTTTGCAGAATTCTGAAGTTAAAATTATGTTGCCTAAGGATTCATAACCTCAGTGTTTTTAGACTTGCTGGCATCTCTTGATTGTGTGGAATCTGCAGGCATTAAGTAACAAATTTCATCCACCATCCCTTGTCAGATACCGAAGATGCGAACAGTCAAATCCGACATTTTCTCGTGTGCCGTTCCCAAGTGTCAGGGCTGGGCTTTGGACAGCTGCCAAGCAAGGACCCATGTGAAACAGTTGTTGCCCTGGGAATCTTTTTAGTCCTCCGAGAAGGAAGGACGCAAAGGGGTGTCTGGGAAGCCCTCTGGCCTCTCAGCCACATGCAGATCTGTGGTCAAATACTGCATTTACTAAACCATACAAAGACCTTTTTCTTTTCCCAAGGCTTTAAACATTGCTAATGTCCA